TTTTCATATGTGGAGGCGAGATTTTGAGAAGCAAAGTAGACAGTGGATTCTCCATCCCTGTCCCACCAAGTTTGGTGTCCTATTCCATTGAAACGTTATTCGATTGTCTATAGAGAGACGAAGATTATTGAAAAAATAAAAAATAAAAAAGCCTAACAAAATTAAAAAAAAATTATAAAAAATATAACATGTTTTTCCTAAAGATTATAATCATTTGTTTTAATATTCCCCTCCCTCTTCTGCTTGATTATGGTTGAAGGAGTATTTATAAGAGTAATTTAGAAAAAATTGATAATATGAGAAATAGATATTATATTTAAGACAAAAATTAACTTAACAATTAGGTCATATATTAAGGACCGAAAAAGTATATAATTTTTTTATGGTCTTTTTTTACGATTTTTTCGTATTCCCAACAGAGACATTTTGCCATCCCCGGCTCTTCAGTTGAATTTCCACCGTCCTTCTTTCCCAGAAAGATTCTTGCCCGCGATAACCCACTAGGAAACAGGTCCTGTCATGAGCTTCTTTTGCGGGCTATCCTAAGTCAAGTAGGGCTGTTCACGGGACGGATTGGAACCGGGACAGGCCCGTCCTGATAAATAGTAATGGGACAGAAAATCTGTCCCATGTCCAGGCCCGTCTTGGTGTTGTCTTGGTCCCGATCAGGACGGGACCAATCTGGGACGTCTCAATATTTTTTTTTAATTTTTAAATTTTTTTTAATAAAATCTATTTTTTTGATTATAGTTTTTGGGCTTAGGCCTTATAAAAATGTCTTTTTATTTTCTTTTTTATTTGTTTGGACACTTTTCAACAAAAGCCCAAAATATTACATATAATAGTCATTAAAAACTTTAAACAAAAGCTTTTAACATAATAAAAACTTGTTAAAGATTTTAATCATCAATAATCTCAAATCATCAACAAATATAAAAACTCTAAATAAATATATCTATAGTTCCATATAATAGTCTCAAATCTTTAAAAAATATAAAAAAATAATATTATATAAATAGGATAAAATTTTTTTAAAAAAGGAACCGGCACGGGACGATCTCGTCCCGTGTCCCGTCCCGAAAAATTTTGGGACGGATCTGTCTCGTCCCAATAAGGCCGGGACTGGAACGGGCTGACTGGGACGGGCCGGCCTTGAACACCCCTAAATTCAAGTCTGACTCTGGTTGGAAACTTGTGTCCCAATATTGACTACAATTTCCATTTCTGGGGGCCTAAATTTCCTTTCGCAATTATGGTCATGGACGTTAAATTAATTGACTAATAACATAGAACACTGGCGAAGTGGGACTGTAGAATATCTTCCAACCTGGGAGACAATTTGTCAACATGGTAGAAAAAGTGGGCGCAATATTACTGCTACCTCTCTAGTATTAATTTAGAAAAACTAAAAAAAATTACTACATTACTTAATTATAATATATGTTACATAATCTTTTTAAAATATGAATTATTATATTATATATTAATTTATAAATGAGACAAATTAATTCAAATAAAAATGACAAATATAAATATTTTAAAATAATTTAATTATTATTTTAATATTTTTAAATTAACTAACTAGATTTTATATTAAACAACGACAAAAAACTACTATTTTGGGTTTTAGTCAAACCTCAAGTTATATTCATGTCTTAAGTCCTACATATATTTCTTTCTTTTCCATGTTCTTATGTTTTTTAGTATTTGGTATCCTAACATTTTTTTTTATTGTGTTCGGTAAAATCTTTCTTTATACTACTTTAGTTTATATCCACACTTTGCCATTTCAAATTTTTAGCCCACTATATTTTCGTGATTAAAAAAAAATTATGTGAGTTAGAATTGGAAGCTTGTTAGGTCCATGCATGCTTTTTAATTAAAGAGAATTAAAAGTATTTAAAAATTGTCTACCACTAAGATTTTTAAATAAGTGATAATTGTATTGATGGGGTGGACATGTTTAGATTCCAATTCTCTCAGAATCCTTGTCTGGTTTTGTTCTCAGAATCCCATCCTTATCATTAAATACAAAATATATGATTGGGATTTAATATTTTAAACAAATGAATACCCATCTTTTCGCTCATATTTATGTCCCATGATAATAATAGTTTTTAAAATATTAAATCTAAATTATATACTATTTTCGGTTCTTAATATTTTAAAGAAATTAGTTAAGTTATTTATTTGTTATAAATAGGTATTATCTTTCTTAGAATATCCATGTTAATCATATATTTAGCTAGAATTACTATTTGATGAAACATTTAATATGTGCAACTACTACAAAGATTATTTTGAAAAAAAAATATAAAAGACATAATAAATTAGAGTTTTATATTTAAAACCAAACTAAAAATCAAACAAGTTAAGTGACAAAAGTAGTATTTTTTCATAAGCGGAGGTGAGATTTTGAGAAGCAAAGTAGAGAGGGGATTCTCCTTGCCTGTCCCACTATGTTTGGTGTCCTTTTCCATTGAAACGTCATTTGATTGTCTAAGGGGAGACGAAGATCATTGGAAAAATCACAACAACAAAAAACCACCAAAATAAAAAAAAAACCATAAATAAAAACTCATGATAATATTAGTATAAATCCTGACTATAACAGTATGGGTTTTGACGTTAATTTTTGCAAACAAATCCTCATATATATATTTTTATTTTGACGGGTTTTTTAATGATATTTTCATATTCCAACAGAGATACTCTTCCGATTGTAAATATAAAACTTTTATATTCTTGTTATCCCTGGCTCTACGGTTGAATTTCCAACGTCCATCTTTCCCAGAAAGATTCTTGCCCGCGACAACGCACTAGGAAACGGGTCCAGTCATGAACTTCTTCTGCGGGCCATCCTAATTCAAGTCTGACTCTGATTGGAAAATTGAGTCCCATTATGGACTTTAATTTCCATTTCTGGAGGCCTAAATTACCTTTTGTAATTATGGTCATGGACGTTAAATTAATTGACTAATAACAGACTCGTAGAATATTTTCCAACGTGGGAGACAATTTTGTCAACAGGTAGAAAAAGTGGGCACAATATTACTGCTACCTCTCTAGTATTAATTTTAAAAAACTAAAAAAATTACTCCATTATTTAATTATAGCATATGTTACATAATTTTTTAAAAATATAAATTATTATATTATATATTAATTTATAAATACAAAAGATTAATTTAAATAAAAATAATAAATGCAAATATTTTAAAATAATTTAATTAATATTTTAATATTTTCAAATTAACTAACTAGATTTTATATTAAACAACGACAAAAAAACTACTATTTTGGGTTTTAGTCAAACCTCAAGTTATATTCACGTCTTAAGTCATACATATATTTCTCCTTTTTCATATTCCTATGTTTTTTAGTATTTTTTTTAGTCCTAAATATAAGACTTATTTTGTAGTGTAAATTATATTACAAAATGGATCTTATATTTGAGATAAGAGGAATATTTGGTATCCTAACGCATTTTTTTATTGTGTTCGGTAAAATCTTTCCTTATACGACTTCAGTTTATATCCACACTTTGCCATTTCAGATTTTTAGCCCACCATATTTGAGTTAGAATTCGAAGATTGTTAGGTCCATGCATGCTTTTTAATTAAAGAGAATTTATTAAAGTATTTAAAAATTGTCTACCACTAAGATTTTTACATAAGTGTATTGATGGGGTGGACATATTTCGATTCCAATTCCCTCAGAATCCGTGTCTTGTTTTGTTCTCGAAATCCCATCCTTATCATTAAATACTCCTCCGGTCCTTATTATAAGACCCAATTTGACTTTTTATTTGGTCCTAATTATAAGACCCAATCCATTTTGTCTCTTATATTTATACATTTTTTTCCAAGATAATCCTTCTAATAATGATAGTTTTAGCCAATATACTTAATTAGCAAGGATATTTTAGGAATGACAATACTTATTTATTATAAATAACTAACTTAACTCACTTCCTTAATCTCCTCAAATAAGTCAATTGGGTCTTATAATTAGGACCGGAGGAGTACAAAATAGATGATTGTGTTTTTAAAATATTAAATCTAAATTACATCCTACTTCGAGTCCTTAGCACAATATCTAAATTCAATTGAATTTCCAACGTCCATTTTTCCCAGAAAGATTCTTGCCTGCGACAACCTGCTAGGAAAATGGGTCCAGTCATGAACTTCTTTTGCGGGCTATACTGATTCAAGTCTAAACTCTGATCGGAAAATTGCGTCCCAGTATTGACTCCAATCTCCATTTCAGTGATCACTCCACGGAAAAAGGCGGGAAAGTATTACTAGTCACTTGACTTCCCTTATCTTCAATGATCAACATTCGCTCGTTCGCACATCGATACAGTTGTCGCACTATCATTCCCAAGTTTCAAAGCTTCTTTCTCTCTGTTTTCTCTGCTCTTTCATTTACCACGCTCATACTTCCATTTGGGATTTTTTTTCCTTTCTACTTTTTTTTTTTGGGAAAATGGTAATTAGGTCCCACTCAAGAGAATTAAATACAAAAAGGTCCTTTGAAATCATGAAATTATTTTAAAGTCTCAAAATTTTTTTTGCATTAAATTTTATTTGTTTACTTACCAAATTACCCTTCTTTTTTTTTTTTTAAGTTTGCATTGACAACTGAAAGAGCAGTAGTTGACAACTCAGGATACAAGGATTGACAACTATCGCGGTTGGTTTGACAACTTATGATGTGATATGCTGAGAAAATGTGTTGTCAAACCAGTCGCAATAATTGTCAATCCTTGCACTTTGAATTGTCAACCACTGCTCTTTCAATTGTCAATACAAAGTTTAAAAAAAAAAGAAGGGTAATTTGGTAATTAAATAAATAAAATTTATTGCAAAAAGGTCTATTGGGACTTCAGAATAATTTCATGATTTCAAGGGACCTTTTTGCATTTAATTTTCTTGAGTGGGATCTAATTGTAATTCTTCCTTCTTCTTCTTTTTTTTTTTCAGCAGCCCCATATACAAATGGAACCCAGATTGGGGTTTCCACTTCTCTTCTTATTGTTATTATCTATCTGTTTCAATGTGGAATCAAAGTGTCAGAAAGGATGCAACCTGGCTCTTGCCTCCTACTATGTTTGGGTTGGTTTTTTCAATCTCACGACGGTTTCGCAGATTATGCAATCCCCAATTCTTCAAAATCCTGAAGATATCGTCAGCTATAACAAAGGCCAACTGTCTACCCCAGACTATGTCCAAACTACCACTCGAGTGAACGTACCGTTCCCTTGCGATTGCATCGGTGGTGAATATCTAGGTTACGTATTCAAGTACCCGATTCAAACAGGGGACACATATATGAAGGTTGCGAATCAGAGCTATTCCAATCTAACCATTGCTTCGTGGTTGCAGAGCCACAATGGCTATCCGCCGAACAATTTTCCTAATTCTGGAACATTGAATGTGACGGTGAACTGTTCGTGGGGGGATAGCCACGTTTCGAGAGATTATGGGTTGTTCATCACGTACCTGCTTAGAGCTGAGGATTCTTTGGATTCAATTGCGAACCAGACGAATCTTGATCGATCGTTGCTGCAGAAGTATAATCCTGGTGTTAATTTTAGCAGAGGGAGTGGTGTGGTGTATATCCCCGGGAAAGTTACACCAATTTATTTGATATCACGTGATCTTAATTCGAACTTATGATTGAATAAGATCTTAATTTTAGAGTTCACCTAACTTTATTTGTTAGCATATATCAATAAATGATAGTCAAACACTTCTTGGCTAGTATAATAAATTCCTTCTCATGTTTGGATCCTCTTTTTGGACTTAACATCTTCGGTAAAAAAAATGCATTATATGCTTATTAAAGGGTATTCAGTTCTGGTAATTTGTCTTTGACTCCGACTTCGAATCCTATAGAATTTACGAATGGGTCTGAATCATTGCTTTTCTCTTGTAAAACTGATTTACCGTATTTCTTACGGCAGCATGGCCTCCGATCCAATCTTTGTCTCTGTGAGAATGTCTCCCACACTATGGATTTTGAACGAAATTAACTCTAATAATTGACATTAGTGATTCTGATTTCACAGTCAACTAACGTGGATCATGTGACATAGATAACCAAAATCCATTAATGATCTCTGATAATATATCGTCTAAAAATGCTCACAGTGAAAGAAAAGCATTGAGGTTTATGGTTACTAATAGTAAAATCTTGAGTTTTTTCTTGGGAAAATGACAAAAAAAAAGCCCCCAATATGTGAAATTACGAATTGAAACCCTCAATTGGGAAAATCCCAAATGAAAACTCGGTCACATATTGCAAATATGAAATCTTGGTGAAATGTTTGAAATGCCCCTCAGACAAATGACAAATTGATTGTAGGAAATGACAAGTTCAATTTAATGAATAACAATTTCAATAGACCAAGTCACAACTTGCCTGAGGATATGCTAAATGACAAGTTGACTAAAGAAAATAACAAGTTCGCTTTAGCGAATAACAATTTTAATAAAACAAATCACAATTTGACTGAGGGGCATTTCAGACATTTCATCAAGATTTTATATTTATAATGTGAGACCGGGTCCCTCATGGCAATTTGGCTTATTCAAATAACCTCCTTGTAATTTTGGTAATTTAGGGGGTCTTTATTTCTCATTTTCCCTTTTTTCTCTTTTATGCCAGCATGTTTTTGGTTTTCTTTTTTAAATTTGTTACTAGTAGGGATATTATAAATCTTTCTGCATTTTACTTACCCTTTTTTTTGGCTCTTATTTTTCAGACAGAAATGGTTCCTATGTGCCCCTGCCCCCGAGGTAACTGCCCTATTTTCGGATGATTAGCACATGAAACCGCATGTGTTTTTTCTTCTTGTAAGATTTTTGAAGAAATTGCTAGAAGTTGCCCTCTATTTTCAAAATCTACACGTGTTTACTGAAAGAAAGAGACCCACTGTATTTTCATCCAAATTTTTGTTTCAATGAAGTACCTTTCATTAACTTAAATGCATTTTTTTGGGGTTAAAAAATAGTGAAAACAAAGTCTTTTCTTTCTTGTTTTTATTTGTGCCTATTTGGATAAAATCCATATTTATAAGATTTAGTTAATGGAGGGTATTTTTAGTAAAAAATTTTAAAATTGGGTTAAAATGTATATTTGGAAATTGTTCTGTGTAATTTTAGTAAAATTCAGGGGAAGCTCTTGTATGTCACTCCAAATTTGTAATCCTAATGTGTGTTCTCTTTTGTTTTTTTTTTTTTTTCCTTTTTTCAGCCCAAAAGGTTTGTCCTTCTTTCTCCTCGAAGGTTTGCTAATTTAAAGCATGGCTTGGTAAGAATATGCTCAAGTTGGAAGGTCAATGCTACTTTGAACTGATAGTGTTTTTTCTTAATAAGCAGGGCTAAAAGGCATAGGCATTGCAGGAGTATCTGCTCGAGCAATTGCTGGAATTCTGTTATTGACAGTTTGTCCGTATGTTGTGTATTACCAAAAGAAGAAGGAGAAAGAGGAAAAATTGCTTTCAGTATACGCTGCTCAACCTGGAAAGGGTACATAGATATCTACCTCTTCTCCTTTTGTTTCCATTGTATTTCCTATCAAACTATTGGGTAAAATGTAACAAGTTCCAAAGGGCTAATCGGTTTAATAACTCTCATGCTCAATTAGTTCATATTACTAGTATGAAATGGTATCCAATTGGCTGAAAGATCATTGGTTGAGGGAGAAACCTGGTTGGCAATCGATTCAATCAGCTCAAGTTCATCCTCTTAGCTGCTGCTGTAAGAGGAAGTGAATGGTGGCCAAGATCAAATGCTTTGAAACCGTTTTCTGTCTAAGCTGGACGGGCTGTCCAAAACCATTGGTAAATACTTGAAGCAGAAGTAAACGGTGAAAGACTGAATCAGTGACCTAAAAATTTCTGAGAGTTTCTAGGTGGATGTAGATCATTCCAAAAGATCTGATTGCTGTGTCACCATCTGGAATTTCTCAATCCATCTTTAGATTTGTCTGAAATAGAATAATTTAGTTCACTCAACTTATTTTCTGTCAGCTTAGTTCACTGAAACAAATGGATGAAATGCATAAAAAATGACAATGTAATTGATTGAATGTAGTAATGCTGAGTATAAAATTTCAGATTCCAATGGTCCTCCTGCTCCTGCTGATACTAGCATCAAAGGTATTACTGTGGACAAATCAGTTGAGTTCTCATATGAAGAACTAGCTCAAGGCACAAATAACTTTGTTATGGAAAATAAAATTGGTCAAGGTGGTTTTGGGGCTATCTACTATGCAGAGCTGAGAGGCCAGGTTTGTAATTTTCATGTATTACTAAATTTAATTTAATTGCATGCATTTAAAAGAAAAGTTGCGTTTCATTAATATTAATGAGAATATTTTTATCATTGCTGCGTATAAATTTTTGTTTGGCTGAATCTTTCTTTTAACCAAGAATATGTGGGAAATATTTAAATAAGACGGTTATAGTCTTGCTCTGTTGATGATTTATAGCAGCATTCAACAAGCTATGAGAGTATTACATATGGTGGATTTGGAATAAGTCTATTATAAAAATGTACGTTGCAAGAGCCAAGAGCTTCAGTAATATATAACTCAAGGGATTTTCCTTTGCAGAAAGCTGCAGTAAAAAAGATGGAGCCACAAAAATCAAGGGAGTTTCTTGCTGAATTGGAAGTGTTAACTTGTGTTCATCACCTAAACTTGGTATGATAACTTTTGAACAAAAGCATATGTAGGGCTAGTTTTCTTGACCGTATAAGTATATAGTTTGTTTCTTTAAAAGCTAAACTAAGTATTAATTTTGATAGTTTTTTTTTACTGCCCTTGAATGGTATGTGCAGATGGCTTTTTCAGTGAAGGGATTCAACACTAGTCTAGGCATCGACATGTAGAGATCGATTTCATTATTTTGAACTTACAGTAGTAAACTATATGTCAAAACAGAATTTGAAGGTTCTCATTTGGGCATTAGTCATGATTAATTTTCTTTTTTCACAATAAAGTCAATGATGTAATTCCCATGCTTGTTAGTTTCATTTTAAAGCATGACAACATCAAATTCTATTCTCCAAGGTTAATCAATTTCCCCCTTGCATCACTCTTCTCTGTTGGTTTCCTGATATAAGTTTTTATTTATTTACTTAGAAGTTTATTGTCAATGATCATTCTCACCACATTCTCAAGGAGATTATTGTGAATACTCTTCAGCTCTAATGTAAGTAGTGTTATTTATTTGTAAATCATTCAGGACAAATACTAACAAGGTCTTGTCATTCAACTCACTCAAAAGCTTCTCAACACATCTAACATTGTCGGCTATTAATCTGTTGGAAATCCAATATGTCTTGCTCTTTCTCTTCAGCTCTTGGCTCTTCTTTCTTTTGTCTCTCTCCATCTGCTTATCGTTGTCTCAACTCATGCATCAATTTGTATCAAAGGGAGTCATCTTTGCACGATTTGTTCGCTTCACAAAATATAAAGCGCAACACAGAAGGAAAGTTGGTGAATCGGGTTGTCCCTAAGCTCTCTATTTTCCTATTTTTGTTATTTTCTTGCAAAACTTTTTGTATGGATCAACCTCTAATTAATAAATTATCTGCCTTATGAACGAATTTTAAATTGTTTGGATGGAGGTTTACTACATTATAAACCTGTAAATGACTAAAAAATATGTGTTTGATTAACAAAAAAAACATAGAGGCATAGTACATTATTCACAATACGGCACAGCCTATTGTTCATGTCAACTTTTCCATAGTTCCCTAAAAGAAAATCTTATAAATGAAAACATGAAAAGAATTAACAACTTATAAATCATATGATTAGTATATAAAATAAATGCGGGGCTGTTCTTGATTGGTGTTGTGATTTCGATTAAGCTCTACGAGAATATTTGTTGTAATATGCTTATGCACAACATTTAATCTTATCTGCTACTATGTCATGGAGAAATTAGTTGTGTTTTGTCTTGTCATTTTGTAGTGCCAGTGCTTTTACATCTGCACAGTCATTTTTTCAAGCATCTTATTTCATAAATGACTTATAATTGTTGTATGGATCATATAATACTTTGTCATAAGTTCATTCCACCTGTTAAAAAACTCTGTAGGTGCGCTTGATTGGATATTGTGTTAAGAAGGATTCCCTTTTCCTTGTGTATGAATATATTGACAATGGAAACTTAAGCCAACACCTGCGAGATTCAGGTGAGAAAAGAATTCCACCAACGTCTATTTCTGTGATCGTACATCAACCTAATTATCATATTAATTTAGCTACACACGTTTTTTCTGTGCATTGCATTAGCACAAAGTCTCTTTGACTATATTTTTATAGCTTGCAATAAATTTTATATTTTATATTGATGATCAAGTCACTTTTGACAGCTAGAGAACCCTTGCCATGGTCTGTGCGAGTGCAAATTGCTCTGGATTCAGCCAGAGGTCTTGAATACATTCACGAGCATACTGTGCCAGTATATATTCATCGTGACATAAAGTCGGAAAATATATTGATAGACCAAAACTTTCGGGCTAAGGTTGAATTCTTATTCAATATTTTTAGAGCTCATGTATATTTTTTTGGATGAATTATAATTCCTTGAATATTCATCTTTACAGGTTGCAGATTTTGGGTTGACCAAGCTCACTGAAGTGGGAAGTTCATCACTTCCCACTGAAAATTTTGCAGGCACATTTGGTTATATGCCACCTGAGTACGTCAACTTCCACTTTTCTTTTTAGGTAGCAGCCTAGTTAGGCACAGAAGGTTTGCAGATTTTGTGGAAATATGGAGCTGAGAACCTGAGGACATCTAGTAGATTTAATATAAAGGGAAAAAGACAGAAAAATACAACTTTAACTCCATAATTCCCAAAACGTCCGTCCAATTCCACAAATCCCATTTTGGTACCATGAGACCAAATTGGGATTATTATGTGAAAGGAAAAGACCACATTGCCCTTCATTTTAAATATTATTTTTAAAATATCACAGCCCCTACTGGCCGGTCGGTCACTGGACCTCCGGCGGCGGCAGTCAACGGAGCTCCGGCGACCAGCCGATAATTGGTCACCGGAGCTCCGTCGGTCGGATTTTTTTTTTGAAAATTTTTACAACTTCAATATAACGGTTAACAACTTTTGTAATGCTATTAACAACTTCAGTATAGCAATTAACAACAGCTTTTCTGGGAAATTCAACAAACTCCGGCGACCGGAAACAATTATTTTGAAAATTTTTACAACTTCAATATAACCGTTAACAACTTTTGTAATGCCATTCACAACTTCAATATAGCAATTAACAACAGGTTTTCTGGGAAATTCAATAAACTCCGGCGACCGGAAACAATTTTTTTGAAAATTTTTACAACTTCAATATAACGGTTAACAACTTTTGTACTGCTATTAACGACTTCAATATAGCAATTAACAACAACAAATTCAGGTGACCGAAAACAATTTTTTTAAAAATTTTTACAACTTCAATATAACGGTTAACAACTTTTGTAGGCCTATTAACAACTTCAGTATAGCGGTTAATAACAGGTTTTTGAGTTTGTTAAAGGCATTACTGAAGTTATAAAAATGTCACTTTTTGAATTTAAAAACTTGTTGTTAACTGCTATATCAAAGTTGTTAACCGTTATATTGGAGTTGTAAAAATTTTCAGAAAAACGTAATTGTTAACGTTATACTGAAGTTGAAAATTTTTACAACTCCAATATAACGGTTAACAACTTTTATAATGCTATTAACAACTTCAATATAGCAATTAACAACAAGTTTTCTGGGAAATTCAACAAACTCCGGCGACTGGAAATAATTTTTTTGAAAATTTTTACAATTTCAGTATAGCGATTAACAACTTTTGTAACCCTATTAACAACTTCAGTATAGTGGTTAACAACAGCTTTTTTTGAAAAATTATATAACTCAAAAACCTGTTGTTAACCGCTATACTGAAGTTGTTAATAGGATTACAAAAGTTGTTAACCGTTATACTGAAGTTGTAAAAATTTTCAAAAAAATTGTTTTCGGTCGCCAGAGTTTGTTGAATTTCCCAGAAAAACTGTTGTTAATTACTATACTGAAGTTGTTAATAGCAGTACAAAAGTTGTTAACCGTTATATTGAAGTTGTAAAAATTTTCAAAAAAATTGTTTCCGGTCGCCGGAATTTATTGAATTTCCCAGAAAACCTGTTGTTAATTGCTATATTGAAGTTGTGAATGGCATTACAAAAGTTGTTAACGGTTATATTGAAGTTGTAAAAATTTTCAAAATAATTGTTTCCGGTCGCCGGAGTTTGTTGAATTTCCCAGAAAAGCTGTTGTTAATTGCTATACTGAAGTTGTTAATAGCATTACAAAAGTTGTTAACCGTTATATTGAAGTTGTAAAAATTTTCAAAAAAAAAAAAATCCGACCGACAGAGCTCCGGTGACCAATTGTCGGCTGGTCGCCGGAGCTCCGGTGACCGGCCGGCCAGTAGGAGCTGTGATATTTTAAAAATAATATTTAAAATGAGGGGCAATGTGGTCTTTTCCTTTCACATAATAATTCCAATTTGGTCTCATGGTACCAAAATGGGATTTGTGGAATTGGGCAGACGTTTTTGGGCTTTTGAAGTTAAAGGTATATTTTTCTGTTTTTTTCCCTAATATAAATTAGTAGCTATCTCTCTTTTTTCTTTCAGAATAGATTGATTTTTGTCACATGTATAACATCACAAGCATGACCAAAACAAGCACTCACATATGGGGCCTTAAAGAGTGAAAATATCCTCATGGATATTATGCGGATGTTTTTAGCCGCTACAAATTGCTTGTCTCTGCCTTCTTTATAATGACATGAAAAATAATAGGATAGTTAATATTTTAATTATTTATTGTAGATTGTCAACAAAGAAATGTTGACAGCTTGTTGTTACGAGAAGCTTTTCAATATCTGTGAAGTGCTGAGTTCCAAGCCCTATGGTAGTAACAGGTTTTAACACTCTAAAGTTACCAAACTACCCTTACTTTAGCACTGCTGGGATTCGAACTCAACACCATAATAAGAGGGTTTTTGGATATCCTAACAGTGCTTCATAAAAGTATTTTTCTGTAAATCAAAACAAACTCCTCCATATACCATAAAATCACTGTCAAAACTATGATTTGATTTCCATCCAAACACCTCCTAGGATATTTAATAGCCTAGATGTCATTTGGAACCTAATTGTCATCAAACTGATCTTTTGAGACCTAGATGTCATTCTCCCTTTGAATAACACGATTGGATATGAATAATAAGAAAGTTTGTGTTGGTGTGAACTTGCTTTCTTTGAAATGAGTTCACCCTTCCCCCTTTTCTGATCACCAAAACGATTTCACTTTTTTGTGCTTAAGTTTGATTACTCTTCTGCCATCTGCAGGTATGCTTATGGTAGTCTTTCGCCGAAAATTGACGTCTTTGCTTTTGGAGTTGTCCTATATGAACTTATATCTGCTAAAGAAGCTTTGTCCAGGGCTGGTGGAGCTGGTTCTGAAACAAAATCCCTTGTCTCTTTGGTAATTCTTGACTTCCCGACTAAAAATGTTTTATTTACTATTCTTTTTTTAATTACAAACCATGTGATTTTACTAGAATTTAAGAGTTATTTTGCCTTGGTTGGTACAGTTTGAAGAAGTTCTTGAGAAGCCTAATCCAAAAGAACATCTTCAAAAGCTTGTTGATCCTAGGCTCGGTGATCAATACACAATCGATTCAGTTTACAAGGTGAGCATATAAATTGAACTGTTTAAACCTTTGTGTTGTCAAGTACTAGGCTCTAAAACTATCTCTACTAACTAATCAGAGAACTTGATAGTAACTATACAAAGAACTCAGAAACCAAGGTAAGTGTGTCAATGAAACGAAAATGCACTACAATTAGTGCGTTGTTAATCCAATTAAGTCGTGAAGAGCCCATTCATGTATTCTAATCCAACAACTATCATCACACCGCATGAAACCATTTAATAACTATGAAAATGATGGCCACATACAAAGGTCCACTGCCTCACTGATGTTTTAGTGACATGGCCCAACTTTGGGTAGTGCTTATGTAACACCTAAATAGTGCTCCAAAATATGATGTGACTTTGAAAGCACAATACCCCGAAATCTGCAAATTTCTATCCAGGACTCCAAAATAACCTAGTTGCCATGAAGCTCCCTACAACTAATTTGGAATTAAATTTTATAGTGATTCCTTAAATGCTTGTGTCTAAAATCTAAAACTAAAAACGAAAATGATAATTGCTGGACAAGTAACAGCCTTAGCTTAACAAATGACAATAGCTAAGGCATCGAGAGCTAATTTTGTAGAGGGCAATTATGTCACTTCTCAAAAACACTTAGGGGGTGTTTGGATGAGACAAAACCATGGTTTGGAGAATAACTTCTGGAGAATAGATTCTGAAGAGAATAGATTTTGAAAGAATAGATTTTCTGAAAAAGTGATTCTGATAAAGTGAGAGTGTTTGGATAATTATTGTCAGAAGTGCTTTTTGATATGTAGAAATTACTAAAAAGGACATAAGTTTAAATGATAATTACATGTAAGATATATTTCATAATATATGTTAATTTGAAGTAATAAATTTGTTAATAATATATATTTTGGCAACATAATAAATAAGACATAAATAATATAATTAATAAAAAATTAAAGTGTATATATATTAATAAAATAATTAAATATGTTTTTAGGAAAATGATTTACTTTGCCAAAAAAAATATTATTATTTCTTAAAAATTTTAAAGATGAAATCCCATATTTTTTTGGGAAAATTCCAGAAAAGGTCCCTCGAATATATGAAATCCCAGATTGGGTCCTGGAATTTTCAAAATGACAGAAAGGGTCAGTGACCCAATCTGTCATTTGTGAAATTAAGATCAATTGACAATTTTGCCCCTGACTAAGTGAGTAGTTATTCTCTATACAAATCTAGGTAACGCTTACGCTGTTCTAGTGATTACAAGATTATTTGTAGTTAATAATTACAAGATTAGTTGTAGTTAATAATAAGGTACCTAACTATGAAAAAGTGAGTAGTTATTCTCTATACGAATCTAGGTAATACTTACATTGTTCTAGTGATTACAAAATTAGTTGTAGTTAATAACAAGACACCTGAATATGAAAAAGCGAGTAGTTATTTGCTACATGAATCTAGGTAATGCTTAAACCCTTATAGTGATTCCTTAAATAATTGTAGTGAATGAATACAAATGAGGGCAAAATTGTCAATTCCTCTTGATTTGCCAAATGACAGATTGGGTCACTGACCCTTTCTGTCATTTTAGAAATTCTAGGACCTAATCTGGGATTTCATATATTCGAGGGACCTTTTCTGGAATTTTCCCTATTTTTTTTTCACAAAATTAAATAACCACACAAAAAAATTTCATATTAATTGTCTTGATAATAGAGGTTGCAACGAAATATATTTGTCCAAGTAATTTTTTTTTTAACAACACATTACATTATCTGAAAAGAAAAAGAAAATAAAAGAGACATGATTATTCTTGTATATAGTGAATAATTTGATCTCTTATGGAGTCATAAAGCCGAGCCATGTGAAATGAAGATTCTATTGATGAAGGTATTAAGACCTTGTCTATATATTAACTCTCTAATTAGGTTTTACATTAATGACCGGAACAATAATCTTACATTTAAGACCAATATTAACTCTCCAATTAGGTCTTACATTAAAAACCGAAATAATAAATTTATTAATTTTTTTTGCCAACATAATAAACAATGTATAAAAACATATATTAATTACTATATCCAGTTGTAAATGTAAGGATTAGTTGACTAATTTGAGTAAATTAAAAAAATAAGTTAAATTAGTTATTTGTAATAAACAGGTGTTTTCTTTCCTACAATATCCCTATTAATCAAGTTTATTGGTTATAACTTAAAAAACGATAGACAAATATGAGAAATAAAGTAAATTGAGGTTTTATTTTAGGACCAAATTAAAATCAAATGAGGTCTTATATTAAAAACAAGATGTAGTAATTGTTAATATGTGTATACATAATTATAAAATATAAGATTATGTTTTTAGAAAATTAAATAATTATTTTCAACCAAAAAAAAATTACCATACGTAGGGGGTGGGGGAGAGAACCACTCAAAAAGCAAAATTTTTTTGCTTATTACAAAACCTTGGTTTTGATAGACAAACCATGGTTTTATCATAAAACCATGGTTTTGAAAAATTGATAGGTGTTTGGGTAATTTTTTCCCAAACCATAATTTGGATCCCCAAACTATGGTCTGGGCAATCATCCAAACACTTTTTAATTTTAGAATAGTTTTTGAAGAGCTCATTCATGTATTCTTATCCATTAGCTATCATCACACCGCATAAAACCATTTAATAACTATGAAAATGACAACCACACACAAAGGTCCACTACCTCACTACTGTGTGTGTGACGTGGCCCCGCTCTGCGTAGTGCTTAATGTAACACCCGTGCCCCAAAATATGATGGACTTTGAAAAGCAAAGTAGATTGATTTTGGGAGAAAGACACAATACCCAAAATCCGCAAATCTCAATAAGGACCCCAAAATAAATTAGTCACCATGAAGCTCTCAACAACTAGTTTGGAATTAAATTTTATAGTATTCCTTAAATGCTTGTGTTTAAAATCTAAAACTAAAAACAAAAATGATAATTGTTTAACAAGTAACAACCTTAACTTATCAAATGGCAATAGCTAAGGCATTGACAATTAATTTTACAGAGCGTAATTAGGTTACTTCACAAAAACACTTAATTTTAGAGTAATTCTTGAAGAAGTTATAGGAATTAAACCATTTAAACCATTTGGATTAATCTTTTTGAAATTCTCATATTTCAATGTTCATTAGAGGGAGAATGAGAAAAAAGATCCCAACAATTGTAAAATCTCAAATAGGGTATTTTCACAAAAAAAAAAGTGTTATATTTTATAATTCAATTGTTGTCAAAACCTATTAAAGTATTATCACAAATCCTGATTTAGAATTTTACAATTTTTAGATTCCTTTTTTGTCATTCTCCCTTCTTTATATGTCTTTCCCCCTTGTGTTCTTTTGTTAAAGTGGGAAGGATATGACAGTCTTTATAGAATCCAAACATATAGCTGAATTTGACTGCTTACAAAAACTATTCATGGTGCTTGTAGGTTGCACAGCTAGCCAAAGTGTGCACAGATGGAGACCCAGACCGACGTCCAAGCATGAGATCTATTGTGGTGACTCTAATGACACTTTCTTCTTCTCCTTCTGTGGAATGGGACACTGCCTGCTTGTATGAAAATCCAACATACACAGAAATGTTGTTCGGAAGGCTGATGTAGAAAATATATGTCAATAATATTTAAATTAAGTGACTCACATGTTATTTTGGATTCCCCTTGTTTTTAAATCCAAAATAATAAATAATAATAATGCTAATTTTTTCATCAAATGAAAGGTTTCATATCCGTATATTTTAGTATAAGTGTTGTTATTTACAATATAATATAAGATTTTTTTTTAAATAAGTCATCAGATGTAAACTTATATGTAGTCTTTAAAATTTCACACACTTTTTTGTTACATCAAGATATTTTCTCGGGTATATACATAATTTCATGCATACCCTTATTTCAATTTCATATGCCCTTACTTTTATACAAATAATTTTGCCTTTTTCATTAAGCAATCCCCACAAAAAAAAACTTCCTTTTTTCAGGCCAAAAAAAAAACAAAAAACTTCCTTTTCATTAGTTTGAGAATCCAATATCGACAACTTCTTGTTAGACATTTTAGTAATTTCTACCTTTCTTTTTTGAAACCTCAATAATTTTTCTTTTAATTAAAGCAAAGCTTAACTTATTTTCATCTGTCAATATCGCTTACCTAATGCTGATCTCTCCACCCATATTAACAATCTTATCAGGGCTTGGCACGAGGATTAGGAAACATGATAAGCAACTTGATGTGTGAAGTAAATTGTGGTTATTGCATATGTCCTCTTGATTTTTTCAGTGTTAATGAGTTCGAGTCCCTGTAAGGAACATGATAGATGCATAAGTTATGACAAAATAGTACATAATATATAATCCAAATTATAAAAATGTAATACTCTTCCGTTCCTTAATATAATACCTATTTAACTAATTTGATTAAATTAAGAAAGTTAGGTAAGTTAGTTAATGATAAGAAATATGATATGTTTTTCCTAAAACATTATAATCATCTTTCTTAATATTCCCCATCCCTCTTCTACTTAATTATGGTTGAGGAGTATCCATAGGAGTAATTTAGAGAAAAATGATAAATATGAAAAATATGTCTTATATTTAGGACTAAAATTAATCAATAATTAGGTCTTATATAAAGGATCAGAGGAGTATAATACACCTTGAAATTATTAAAAAAATCAATATGCATTGATTTTATTAGAACTTTAGAAAGAGTTTTAACTGTTTAAGCAAAAATGTTTGGAAAAATTATTGTGGGGTTTCAAAAAAAAAAAACTTATAAACTTATTATATTTTTTATTTTAGAACCTGTTATTACAAGCGGTTCAGTTTTCATATGATTTTTTTGTGAATATGTTCCTTCCATAGGATTTTATTACAACTCTGCCACAATGTTTTTTTCTCCAGGAAAACCTATCCATACCCAATAATGTTTAAATTTAACTTAGTTATACAATCATATCAAAAAAGTAAAGAGAAAAGAAATTAGGAGAGAAATATAATGATTGATACTGAACTTAATTTTAGTATTTAAAAAAAATAAAAACAAAAACAAAAAACAATGCTCATATTATTAATTTGATCTCAGGAAAAAATTTGCCTACCAAGTTATTTTTCCCCAAACGATGGCCCTTTCAACTTCCAAAATTCAAGCGCGCACCAGAGGCAGGGTCCCGTCATGGACTTCTTTTGCGGGGCTGACTTCTATTGACTTGGTGTGTGTACGAACTTCTCCTGTTTTCCTACGCACGGTCCGGACGATTAATTGACTTGTCTTCTATCATATAACATTCAAAGATTCACACAAAAGAAATCTCCGTCATCTTGTCGTTTAATGCCGCTGCCAATCATTTCTAACTTTCCCTGATTTTTAGGAAGAAGATTCTTCCCCAATCCATCTTCAGAGCTTCGTTCATTCTTTCGTTCTGCTTATTTATTCATCAGTGCACTCATTTCCATTTGGGATTCTTTTTCCCTTTCAGCTCTTTCAGCACGACCATATACAAATGGTACCCAGATTCGGATTTCCATTTCTCTTCTTGCTGTTATTCTCTCTTTGTCTCAATGCAGAATCCAAGTGTAAGAAAGGATGTGGCTTGGCTCTTGCCTCCTACTACATTTGGGTTGGTTTTACCGATATCACGGTCCTTCCGCCCATCATGCAATCCCCAGTTCTTCGAACAACAAAAGATATCATCAGCTATAACACAGACCAATTATTAAGCGACGACTATGTCGAAACCACCGCTCGAGTGAACATTCCTTTCCCTTGCGATTGCATAGATGGTGAATATCTGGGGTACGTATTCAAGTACCCGATTCAGAAAGTAGACACCTATACGTCGGTTGCGAATCGGAGCTATGCCAATTTGACCACCGTTTCGATGTTGGAGAGTGCGAATAGCTATTCACCGGACAATATTCCTGACTATGGAACGCTCAATGTGACGGTGAACTGTTCGTGTGGGGATCGCCGTGTTTCGAAAGAGTACGGGTTGTTCATCACGTACCCACTTAGAGCTGAGGATTCTCTGGAATCAATTGCGAACCAGACGAAGCTTGATCAAAATTTGTTGCGCAGGTATAATCCTGGTGTCGATTTCAACAAAGGAAGTGGTGTGGTGTATATCCCGGGAAAAGGTACATTAATTTATGTAATGTCTCGATAATCTCATCTCTCAGCACATATTATAAGAGTCAAAATCATAACTTTCTTGAAAAACATCCAAAAACCCTGTATGCATGCTAAAATTGATCATGAATACGAGAACAAACACCCACATACCTGCCAAAATCATTTATGAACTCAAAACCATTGTTATACTCAATTCTCTAAACGAACTGCACAGTAACTTGTAAGAACTTTAGGACAATCTATACGAAGTTATATAATAAAGCTGTTATGTTGCTAGTCTTTTTAATCGTAATTAGAGGAATATTTTTAAAGGAGTATTTTGAAGGACATTTTCCATTCAAAATTAGCTCTACTTTGGGCATCAGTGATGACTGAATTGTCAACTAATGTGAATCGCGAAACAAAGATAAGAAAAGGAGAATAACCGTAATTGATTTTTTATAATCTAAAAATGCTCAAAAGCTAAGGGATGCTATAAATATTCCTACACCTGCCTCAAATATTGTTTTTTTCACTTTCACTTTTCAGGCCAAAATGGTGTCTTTGTGCCGCTGCCCCCTAGGTAACTTCCCTACTCTCCCGATGATGATTTGTACATGAAGTGGCATGGGTTTTTCCTGTCCTTTCAAATATTATCTCTAATCAGAATTTTGACTAAATTAAATTAAGCTTCCTTCTATTTTCAAAATGTACATGTACTTATTTTGCAACAAAGTTACAACACGTTTTTAGTCCAATTTTAAAATTTTTTGCCAGAGTACCCTTCGATGCATAAGTGCAAATTTGTTTTTTTTTTTCCTTTTGGTGTAAAATTTGTGAAACATTTTGTTTAAACTTTTGCATTCTTGGACATAATGCATATTTATATGTTTAATTTAATATAGGGTTGTAGTTTAAAAAAAAAAAAAATCCAAGCTTGGATTAAATTGTATATTTTGGAAACGGATCTGCGTAATTTTAGCCAAACTTGAGAGTTCTTGTAATTTATTCTAAACGTATTAATCCTAATGTGTGTTCTCATTTTCTTTGCAGCACAAAAGGTTTGACCATCTCTCTCCTTAGAAAGTTGCTTCTTTGATGAATGCTTGGTTAGGATATGGTGAAATATAGGGTCAGTGCCACTTTGAACTGATATAATTTCTCAAGAAGCAGGTCTAAGTGGTGGGGCTATTGCTGGACTATCTGCTGGAGCCGTAGCTGGGTTTCTCTTATTGGCTGTTTATATGTATGTTGCATATTACCGTAAGAAGGAGGAGGGGGCAAAACTGCTTTCTGGAGAATTAGTAGTCTTCTCTGATCAAACAAGGAACGGTAAATAGACACCTACATTTGCCCTTCCTCCTTTTCATTACGCTTCCAATAAAACATGCGTAAAAGGTAACACGTTCCAAAGGCTTAAATGATTTGACAACTCTCATCTAATTTAGCATTTTGAAGTAAAACTGAAATAACCTTATAACATGCTCAATTGTTGGTCTCATTTCGTTTGTCTCTCTCGCCAACTATCTGAAAAGAAAAAGTTTACAGTCTGATGCTTTCTTTGGTTAATTTTCTTAAAACATCCCATTAATACCTCTCTTCAACATTCTGAAGTAAAACTGAAATGGCCTTATACGTTGTTCAATTTGTGGTCTTATTTCCCTTGTCTCTCTTGCTAACCATCTGAATGGGAGAAGTTTTCAGTTTGATGCTTTCTATGTAGTTAATTTCATTAAACATCACAGATTCTTGCTGCCGGATAATTCATATTCCTTGTAAAAACATGGTGTCCACTTAGCTGAAAAATCATTGACTGAGGGAGAAAACCGATTGACAGTTCCATTTAATCAGCTCAAGTTTTTTGACTTGTAAGCTAATTTAGATTGTTTCAATATCCATGTCTGTCCAATTATTCTTATTTTAATATGACTTGAAGTTCACCTAGGAATCAAAACTTTATTTATTTATTAACTCAATACCATATAGCCTATCATAGCCTTGCATAAATAGCCACAGTATGTGGCTCAGTTGGTAAATTGAGCTTCATGTGGACAGACAGACATTATTCGCAGTTCAAGGGTTCCTGCATGAAGAAACTGTTGTCATCGGACAAGCTGGGGATTAGATGTGTTTGAAACAGAGCATATATTTCCTGGGGATTAGCTGTGTTTGAAACAGAGCATATATTTCCTATGTAGTTTATTCAATAATGAGGGTACAAGTTATATAGGCTCGGATACCCCAGAAAATGAGGGGGTATCCAAGATTACATCAAGCAGGAATTAAACCAGCAGAGAAACTATTCCTAAATAGATGAATGACAAATAATAAATATGTAAAGAAAATAAACATATGGGGGAAGCACATATAGTTGACAGCTAGGTCATCTTGATTAAGTGATTAAGGTTTGGGTCTGGGCCTTAGGTTTCCAACGAGTTGTGGCACCTGACTATCTTGTCCAGAATAAAAGCCCAAAACACAGCACACTGGAGCTTTTTCCCACAGTGATAGAACATATAGCCATATCAAATTTAGATTTTTGTGGATTAGAGCCTAGAGCATGTAACTTTTGATAAAATCTTTTCGAGCAAGATGTGCTCCCCTGGGTATTAAACCCATAAGTTTTGCTTTAAT